AGTACAGAGGCATCACACTACTATCGATACCAGGAAAAGTTTTCAACAGTGCGTTGCTGAACCGGATCAAAGATTCATTTGACGCCGAGCTTCGAGATCAACAGGCTGAATTTCGTAAGGATCAACCGTGGACAGACCAAACGCGACATTACTGATAACCGTTGGACAATCAGTTGAATGGAAATCGTCACCGTACATCAACTTCATTGATTATGAGAAGGCATTCGACAGTGTGGATAGGAGGAGTTTATGAGAACTTCTTTGACATCACTGTGTACATGAGAAGATCGTCAACAGTATCCAGAATTCATACGACGGATAACATTGAAGAGTCGTGAGGACTGGAGTCAGACGAGGCTATCTACTCTCTTCCTTTCCCTTTCTTACAGTGGTCGACTGGATTATGAAGACCTCGACATCTGAGGAAAAGCTCGAAATACAATGTACAGCTCGGAACCAACGAGACAATTTGGACTCTGCAGATTGCCTGACTTTTCTCTCTCATGCTAACCAACAAATGCATGTGGAAACAGCCATTGTAGCATCAGCCTCTACACCAGTTGGCCTCAACATACACAAGGGGGAAATCAAGATCATCAAGTACGACACCAAGAATGCCGACTTAACTACACCTAATGGGGAAACCCTGGAAGATGTGGAATCTTTTATGTACCTGGGAAGCATCAACGATGAACAAGGAAGATCTGATGCAGACGTAAATGCGAAGATTTGGAAACCAATGGCCGTTTTCCCTTAGTCATTAAAAGGTTACAAGTACTTATAAATAGTTTTCTACGCAAGATACTCTGTAGCAAAAAGAGCACGCTGAGAACCCCTCCACTTCATTTCATTAGACAGTATTTTAGTTTATTCCTTTCTTCTCCCTGTCTTGTATTTTAACCTTTATTCAGGCCTCTTTTAACAGCACTTTATGTTTAATACGACTAACTCTATACAGAAGGATGCAGTCTGATCTAATTGACTATATTTAGTTTCGTTAACTCCGCGTTCAAACCGAATATTGACCGGAAACTATCAGTAACAGCCTACTATGGGAGAGAACAAACCAACTTCCACCTGAGGTGGAAATTAGAAAAAGACGTTGGAGGTGGATAGGACACCAAACTGCATCACGATGCAACTACTAACTTGGAGTTCTGAAGGTAAAGGGAATGAAGGGAGACCGAGGAACATGCTGCGTTGGGAATTGAAAGCAGACATAGAAAGGATGAATCGTAAATCTACATTTTGTTAGCCTTTTTGATTCCATTTGAGTCATTAATATTTGTAACTTATTATAGTTTTTATTTTTCTTACGCCATCACTAAGTTTCCGTGTTCCTTCCTGAACTGCATTTATGTTATTTTACTTGATACGTGGTCTTGGCGGCAGCCATATTGATTTGTTCCTCCCTTTGATTGTGTTGCTTGTATTGACTGGAACTGTGCATTCTTGATTGTGAATTGAGGTACTTCCGGAATTAAAAACACTGTGTTATAAAGCAACCAAACATTATCTTTTGAACGAATTTGTGTGTGATCTATCCAGACAGAATAGAATAACATTTATTTGTTGTGATTGGTAATTTTTTCGCATCCTTCATCAACTTCCTTATTTATTGTAATTTAGATTTGATCAATTGAACAAATATTGGTTGAATAGATGGGTGGTCATATTTGTTTAGGTAACAATGTACATTTAAATTTATCATGAATTATAGAACCGTCACTAGATGACCGATATGCATCACAATACACTTGAAAGTATTTATTGGCAAGTGCCAAGTATGCGATCATTCAGCTAATTTATCCAGGTTATTTGGGAGCTCTAAGCTATCATTTTTACATTGTATTGTTCTCCATTTCTTAACACCGTCAGCAAATAACAAGATCGATGATGATAGGAGACAAGGAAGGTCTTTTATATACGAGAGGAACAACAATGGCCACAAAACTGTAACATGAGACGCTCTGATAAGCACATTTTCGTAGCTAGACAACTTGGAATTCACCCGTACTCGCTGTTGGCCCCCAATCAGTAGGCCTTTTATCCACAATAACAGATTGTCTTCAACTCCAACCTTTCTTAACTTATATAACAGCCGGTTGTGAGGCGTTTTTTTTAGTTCTTTGGTAATCAAGTCTGGTTTGCTGATACAATAAAACATATACTTTAGGGGCTCACTAGGACATTAGCTAGTTCCTTTAGTAACTTGGGATGCACTTCGTTGGGTCACGTGGATTTGCCTATATCAAGCTTATTTAGCAGGCCAAAGACATAGAGTTCTTTAATGGTCACATTGTCCGGCGTGTGTTGGGGGGTTTGTATGGATTTACGTGAAGGGTGTCTACACGGTATACACATTGTTTAAGTAGTTTGCGAATACTTGGGCTTTACAATAGTCGCCTTCTACTAATGATCAAGCATTACCATCTCCTCATAGTGTTGCATGTTTCATTATATATTTTTGAGTCCTAATCCTTCCACAGGTTCACCTACGGAAACCTTGTACTAATTTTACTTCCTCTAATCAGTCAAACTAGGTCATCTCAGTATCAGATGGACGGTAGAGCTGCTACAACGACAATCAAGATGCCACAGGTATCGGGAGTTTGACAACGCTTTAACCAGTAACATCTTCTAATATGAATCGTACCCGCCAAGTGAAATCAAGAGACAGAAGTGAGGAGTTTCGAAGATATATTTGATAGGCCATCAATATATCGAGGATCTTATGATCTGATCTGACTAGCGATCGCAGTAGATGTTGAGCACGGCATTCCCACTCGTGATCTGGTTCAGATGCATGACCGAGCGCCTTCAGTTAGATGAGTCCATTAACACTAAGTTGGTCAGCATCCAATGTCGAAAACTTACAGAGCTATTAATTTTGGGGATTTATTTACCGCTTGAACAACAATCCAACGACCTTACTAGACCATTCAGTAGATAGTAACGACGGACGGTATGTTCAAAAAAATATATTAAGTTTTTGATGGAGCCACAAATTTTCTCCACCATCTATTTTATGTTTTATTAGGTTTTAAAAACCGTTAAATTCTCTTGTTACCGAAAGCATTATAGAATGCCTAGTATCACCTCGTCGAAGTTACGAGGACGTCGAAACGATTCCTTAAGATAGGCTTGTTAATTGAAATTAATGTCTAACCTACGACCTTTTTAAACTTTCTCACAGATTGTCGGGGTTGTTGGATATTGAAAGTTGTCGTCTTCAAGCGTTTGCGTTGCCCTATTTTTCGTGCGTCAGTGTTGAGAAATCTGTATGTTTTTGGTATCTAAAAATTAAGTAAATATATTTACTACAGTTAGTCTACGCTTTTAAAAAGATAATATATACAAAAAATATCCGTGAATACCAAATATTGACTATGGGGTTTTTAATTAAGCATGTGTATGTGGCAATCAGACTTTTTGACTTGATGTCATCTGGCCACCTTTTAAAATTAATTAGTTCATTTTCATTCACTTACATATAGTCGTCCAGTTTTGAGGGATATAACAACCGTGAGTACAATTAATTGGTACTAGTATACAAAGTTTCACAACCGCAATAAATTTGCTAATGAGTGACGGTTGCAGTCGATCTTAATTCCTATTAAATTCTTCCGTTAGTCAGAAAAAATGTGCCGGCTAGTCGTTTTTAAATTTCATGTGGAATTCTGTAGTATTCAGTCCAGAAAGGCCACTGAAATAGAATTCAAGCGAAGTACAGAGCATTCAATGCGAGTAAAATGTGAATCGATGGTCTTTCGTAACTGTTACACAACAATGTAGAGGTGGTATTAAGAAAATCTAACTATCAGCTAGTATTATTTGTACTGACGACTACCCACTTTGATGTGCGGTCATAGCTAGTATAGTTGTTGGCTGGATGAAAGCCATGGGTGACTGGACCAAAACGTAAGACCGGTATGCGAAGTCAATGAATATCAGCATGATCTATGTTGACTATGTGATCGGTGTCCTAAGAACGGTTGTAATTAATGGTTTAAGACACACAAACTCAGTTACAGTGACTTACATGCATCTATTCCCCATCTGTCCCCACATTCTAAGCTTCAACATCCATAATCTATTCACTACTAGAACCATATTCTGTGTTTAATATCTTTTCCACCACTGTTATTACCACTGCCATTATATTCATTTTGTTACTGCTATCTCGCTGTATTTGTGCGGTACGTGAACTTGGACCGATAGATATTTGTCGTATGTTGCTCGTGATTGACTGACTGAAAAAAAGCTTAGAGTGGCCTTTAACATTGTTTTTTCTATGTCCGTTTCTGATAAATTTGGGCCTACAAATGGTTTCAAAATAACTAACTGGTTAATTAGAAGTATAAAAACTCAAATCATTTTGTAAAATGTGCTTTTTTGATTGCTGTAATCCTCGTGATCTTCATTATGGTAATATTCTCCATAGTCAAATCAGATTCAACGGTTTGATGCATCATATGTGTCAATATTTTTGCCTGGGTACCAATCGGTTAATTTAATTTATCGAATGTACTGTTGGAGTCTCTGGAATCTCCAATCCTTTGGTATTCAACAAGGATTCTAACTTTTAAGATTCTCCATCACTTTCCACCAATTGGGTGTGCAATGTAAGAAAGGATAGCACTAAGTACGTGAAGCCAGTCACATCAAGTAATTAAGGAGACCTGTAGGTTAAAGTTATTCATCAAAACCATATATCCCTAGCATAACAGAAGCAGTTAACGTTTTCCGGCTTTCCATAGTCACAAAATGGCACTTCTATAATCGTGAAATGCATTTGCTACAACTTGATACCAAGATCCTTATGATAATAGCTCTTCAATCAAAGTTTGAATAGTTTATAAACAGGTAAGTCATACTATACAGTTTTATAGTGAAAAATATCCTTAGCAACGTACATTTATCTGTTCAAAGTAACTTTAAATTTTGTTTTTTATATGTATTCCCATAGGATATCACCAATCTTCGAACGTTTTCATGAAATGCGGAATTCTCCATTTTATATTATCAAACCGATCGTTTATGAGTGCTTACCTCACAATCCATTCAGACGATGCAATTTTTCTAGTGATTCCGGGGATTCACAATGTTTAACAAAACCTCAATATAAATGGGCTGTATATGACAAAAGGTATTTTTAGTATCACTGAAAAATTTTTTAAGTGTAACTGATAATGATCCACATAAAACTTCCATAATTTTATTCCCAGGACAAGGATCTCATTTTGTCGGGATGGGCAAGAATCTTATAAAGTTACCAAAGATAAAGCACATGTTTCAATGTGCTAATGAAATATTAAGAACAGATATTCTTCGTACTTGCCTTGAGGGTCCTGCTTCAAAACTATCAAAAACCATTCATTGTCAACCAGCTACTTTCATAATTTCTTTAGCAGCCCTTGTAAAGCTTCGAGAAGAAAATGACGAGGTTTCTATTCCATATAATTCACGCTATATGTTTTAAGTTAATTAGTAATTGCGTGGTTACAGCAGGGTTTAGTCTCGGCGAGATCAGTGCTCTGGTGTTTTCGGGTGCCCTGACGTATGAAGAAGGTGAGTCTACTTATTTAAAAATATTAATGAAAACAGGTCTGCATATCATTCGTGTCCGAGCAGAAGCCATGCAAAAAGCTTGTGATGAGAAAGCTGGAGCAATGATTACTGTTTTCGTGGACCCTGGATCCCCATTAAAACTTTGTATAGCGGCAGCTATCAATCATTGCGAGGTTCGCCACAAAATCCAAAACCCTTGTTGTAGAGTCGCTAACTATTTATACCCAGATTGCAAAGTTATCGCTGGAAATAAAGAGGTACTATATTACAAATTTGGATAATATTTTTTGAACTCTATACACTACTTGCTCATCATATTTTTTTATTTTACCTATCAAGAATATCTTTACTATATTTTTAAGTTATAGAAAACGATCCTTAAATATCTGATTTAGTTACTGAAGAATATGGTCAATATTGCATTAAATAGAATCAACATAGAGGATAGAAATGCTTTCAATAATGTTTACATCTTTGTATTTATGCGAAGTCACATCTTCAAAAGATGTAGTGTTTATTAGTATGTAATGTTTTTCCTTAGTGGATTGTCGTTTGTTATCCTATCTAGATTGTACTCTGTAGTTGTTGTTTGACTTAATACATTGCTCAACTTCAGTAAAAATACATTTAAATTAGTTTTCGGAGACTGGTTTATTTTAGTTTCATTATGAATCTATTCACTGGGTGATCTATCGCTTACCTAATACATGAAAGCATCATTTAAAACAGAACTCCGTAAACTTGTTATTTTATGTGCATCTATTACGTAGCATCCAATTGGTATTGTTCTCATCGCAAATTCGCCAATGGCACCTGCATTCTCATGTATGTGAATATTCATATGAGCCCTTCCGTTCTTATTTATCAAGCATGGATAATTATAAACAGCTTTGATGTTCAGTTTCTCCTTGGTCAAAAAACTAGACACATTTGAGATACAAACGTTAAGAACTCTTGTTCTACCCTTAGAGTTACGTTCTACTTAGGGGTCTCCTTATCAACATAGATTATGAGCTTATCTACTTCTATTAAATAAATGGTTCGGAAATGTGGTATTGTAAGCTCAGTGAAACCATATGCTTTTCTTTTACAGCTGCGTATATCATGCACTTGTAGATAAGTAGCTACTATCTTAAATTTTTACTGATTTTGTTAAGATTAACTGCATAAAATAGTTATTCCTTAGTTTCATTTGGATTTAAATCTTTCTATCAAATAATTTCAGGCAATCGACTTTATCGAAGATCATGCTGGTCAATTTGGAATACGTCGAACCAAACGATTACCAGTTGACGGGGCTTTTCATACTCCTTTGATGTCCTCTGCCCGGAAAATTATTGCTAATTCACTAGACAGGATGGGAGGTTTTCAGAAACCTTCGATACCTGTTATTAGTGCTGTAGATGTGTTACCGTATAGAGGTACAATGAATATTAAACGAAAACTTGCAATGCAGGTATATACTTCTGTATTACGAATTTGTAAGAGTGTTATAACTCGTGGTCTGTGTGCCCTGTTAATGTAAAACGTAACGATACCGCCAATTAGAAAGCAGTGACGTATCGATCGGATCAATGACGCGTCAACCCATATGAGCAGTCTAGAGTCCTGATTGGTCCTGCTTTCCGCCTAGTCCAGTCAGTTAAGTCCAGAACACCAATCTCAGCCTCTACAATATGAATCATTTATTTCAAGCGCTCGGTTTATATACCAATCAACAGACCACACCGTACCATAAAATATGAAACAACATTTCTACAAGAATTAGCCAAATGTAGCTGTGAATGAGGGAGGTAGTAACCAATAGACAGGGCATGATTCAAGAATGGTAGATCGTATAATAATAGTTCATAGGTCAAAATAAAACTCGTAATAAGAGGGACACGAATATGAACAGTTTAGTTATTTAACGATTATACGATAAAAGTATACGCATATTGTTGGTCCATAAATGGATCCCAAAAGTTACCATTGATTATACTTACCTAACAAAGAGACATAAACATTTGAAATTTTTTAAGATGCTTCGCACTTACAAGAAACGGTGTAGGTCATCTTCCTTTTCAGGTTCCTCAAGAAATACCCTTCCACGGTGCGGACAGCAGAAAAGTGACATCAGCTCTCATACTCGTAACAGCACAAGTAACCAAGTTGGTCACAATCAAATCTTTCATACATCTAATAACTCTCTTATCTTCACGACTAACCCTTCTCATGTCCCTTTATCACCTCGCACCGCTAGGGCAAACGATTCGAGTACGCGGAACGTTATTCCTGGTCTCCTGAAACCACACTCTTAACTACGTGTAGGGGCTATTAACGTCCGAACACTGTGCCAAATAGGACAACAGGCTTCCTTGGCTAGGATTTTAGAATCTCGCACTATCGATGTATGCTGCGTTTCCGAAGCGCGCCTACAGGATCCGAGTAGTGTCATCCATTTGACCTTGCCATATCAAAATAACCAACTCGATTCACGCTTCGTGTATCTGGAGGCCCTGATTCTGCTTCCTGTGGCCCTGCTGGTGTAGGTATAGCATTGAGTCCTAGGGCAGAACTTGCTCTCTTAGACTGGATCCCAGTGGACAGTCGTTTGTGCGCTGTCCAACTAGACGTAACAGTAAGGAGACTCAGAAAGATAGGGACACTTGTCGTCTCTGCTTACTCTCCCACTGACTGCAGCTCAGATGATGTAAAAGATGGGTTTTACAGGAAGCTTTCCGACCTTCTACGTAAAACTAGGCGCTCCGATGTAGTAATGCTCAAGTAGGTAAACTAAGCGAAAGGGAAAGACACCTAGTAGTATTTCTCTGTTGATCGTGAGGTTCTGTGGCAGTGTTTGTCACCGAAAGGAGTACCAAAGAAGTACATTAACCGTATAAAGGCTCTCTACTCAAGCACAACTGGTTGAGTAAGAGCTTATGGCGAACTGTCATCAGAATTGATTACCTCAAGTGGTGTTTGTCAGGGTTGTCCACTCTCTCTACTTTTGTTTAACTTTATCGTAGACGTGCTTTAAGAGATGACACTTTCCTCATCTGAATTTCCAGGGGCCCCCAAATACTCTGGTATGGCCGAGAGTGGGGTGGGTTCGCCCTCCCTCTCGAAATACTCTCACACGGCCACGCGTATACAGCCTCTGCCAGGGAAGTCCTACTCACTGCCTTCTCGCACCACGGGTGTTGTTTACGAAAATGAGAGGACGAAAAGCGAATGTCCTGCGCTATAACCGTATCCCAAATCAATGGTACACATGGGCTCCAGTATCCTGCGGAACAAATGGCGTATGGACCAATCGTTGGTCACCGGCTTCCATGGGACTGCATCTCCTCACGATGCCCCACTGCCTTGTGGACTAGACCTTTAGGTCGATGGCTCGGGGTGTGGCCCCCTTTAAGAAAACCACCTGATTCGGTCTGGGCACCCGGCCAGTATCCCAACCCACACACTAAAACATGATGAACTATTTACTTATGGAAAATATTCCTTTCACTCCGAATAACAATGACATGACTCGCACTTATTATTATTTACTACGTCATTTATTCTCTCCCTCTTATTCCCACTTTATGTGTCCGTTTCGACTTAGACAGCAGCTCGCCTATGGTGGAAATTCGGCTCTATCTAAACGTTCTCGAGTCACTGCCTGGTTGAAAATTGTATGTTACCACCGAATACGAGTACTGAAACCACGTGCACTATTCAAACTGGCTGCCTTTAACGTTCGCACACTTATTCAGGTCGAACAACAGATAGGGCTGGTTATGTCTTTGGAAAGTCTTAATATTGACGTGTGTTGTCTATCCGAGACCCGTATTCAAGACTCTGGTGAAGTACTACAAATTCGCTCTCTATCTGTCGCTTCAAAAAGCTTATTTTACGTTCATTTATCGGGATACCCTGTGGCATCTTCGTCTAGTCTTGCTGGCGTTGCTGTCCCACTAAGCGCTAGAGCTGAGGCAGCACTAATCGACTGGATCCCCATTAACAGTCGGTTATGTGCTGTTAGACTAGAAAGTTCCATCAAAGTGAGAAGTAATCGGCATGAGAAACGATGTCTTTTCGTCATCTCCGCCTATGCCCCGACAGATTGCAGCCCGGATGCAATCAAGGATGAGTTCTACCACCAGTTAACTGTTCTTCTCCCGAAAGTGCGCTCGACAGATATTGTAGTACTAGCTGGAGACTTGAATGCTCAGGTCGGGCGTCTAGGCATAGAAGAGAGTCGTTTAGGTGGCCGATGGGGACTTGTTGGTCGCGGTACAGATAACGGGGACCGTCTACTGCAACTATGCACAGACCATAACCTGTTTCTGGCTAGCACTAACTTTCGACACAGTCATCGCCGATGTGCCACCTGGCGTCCTCCTTCTGCATCTCAAGCCTGGACTCAGATTGATGTTGGCAAGCTGGTTGCAACTTCTGTTGCTAGTAAGTACTGAACCAAGCTAGCTTCTAGGCTAGCTACCATTCCACCGAAAAGTATAGATGAGCATTGGTTGCAGCTTCATGACGCTATCAAAATAGTGAGTAAAGCTTCTTGTGGCTTTGCGAAACATCCCACTTACAAGCACTGGGTTTCTTCTTGTTCCTTACAACTCATTGAAGCCCGTCAGTCTACTCCGGGTGACCACGAGTTTGACCACAAATGAGGGATGTTACATACTGAAATTGGGCAAAGCTTGCGTAAGGACCGGGAAGCCTGGTGGTCGGAGCGTGCTAATGAGCTGGGAGCA